GGGAACAAGGAAATGAGGGATAGGAGCACTAGGGAAAATCCAGTGGAGGTTCATTAGCATGGGAAACCAGGGTCCGTGCACATGCGAGGGGGGGAGGGTTTATACGAGACTATAGTAGACAGAGACTTGAACACTTTGAACGTAGTTGACCCATCCGAGATACTGCGGAATATGCGGTTAGTCTCCGTTCGAAGGACCGCTCTCACGAACTCACCCTTGCCCTCGCGATGACGGCTATTTTGTCGCCGGGCTCGAGGCATGAGATGAAGTCCACCCCTTGTCCCGCGCCGCCTTCGGCGCTCGCAATCGAGGTACCGTCCACGTCCCAAATAATAACGTACTCCCGATATGCTTCGTCGTCAGCACAGAAGTTCCTCTGCACGTCCCATCTGGTACGCCCATCCTTAGCAGGCACCTCGATCGCCTTCGGTGCAACTTGCGCCTCGGATGCCATACTCTCATCGACTTGTGTGGGCCGCATAATGGCAGCCTCGAACCGGGTGTGGCCGTGGTACGTCCCTGTATTCAGAACTTCATTCAGCGAATGGGCCGAAACAGCGAGCTAATCTCGCCTGTCAATGCCTGCTCGCTGCGCCAGCCTTGGTCACGACTGAGGATCGTGAATAGGCTCGTGACCAGCCTGCCTACGGATGCCAACCAAATGTGGCGGGCACGGTTGCCGTAGGCAGGCTGGGACATCTCGGAGCGCTCCAAAGGGTTGGGCCGGAGTTTGAAATTTAAGGGGCTGTTTGAAAGATTATTTATTCCTGATCTAATTTTGAAGCAATTCCTTCGCTTTAAACTCTGTAAACAAACATTAAATTCATCCTTTAAGTTCTGTGTCCTCAGAATTGTATTTCAGCTCCCAGAAATCCCAAAGAGTTGAAGGTAGTTTTGAAGGAAAGTTAGCGTGGGAACTCGCTTCACAATTGCCGAAGTCATTGCGTCATCGGTTATAAGCGAAAGTTAGCGTGGGAAGCCATTTAAATTCAAACTCCGGCCCAGCCCTTTGGAGCGCTCCGAGAGTCCCAGCCTGCCTACGGCAACCGTGCCCGCCACATTTGGTTGGCATCCGTAGGCAGGCTGGTCACGAGCCTAGATCGTGAAATGCACGCGCGCGACCTGCAGGCGAATGGTCTCAAGCCCGCATCGCTCGTGGTCAACAATCCGAGGGGTTTCCAGATAGCTAACCGCCTCAGCATTGAAGAAGCTGGAGGCAGAAACTGTTATCTCATCCGCTCGCACTACCGTGACCTGCACCCAATATTCCGCAAAGTTTAGGATGAGATAGACAAGTTCAGGGGGAAAGAAGTTGAGGAGGAGCTCGCGGACGGAAACGGTGTCTTGTATGGTCCTGGGGTTTTCGGCGTAAGAGACAATTAAGCCCGGGAGGTGCTTGTCACTTTCAGGAATCGCGTCTGCCATGGTGGCCAAGAGGAAGAGTCGCAAGTGACCGGGGTCACTGGTCGGGCCTCGTGTCCGAGGGGAGGTCTGATGCCCCTGTCTCACGTGCCTCAGTCAACATCCCACAAACAATGATGATTTTTGTTCAGAGAATTACTTAACTGAATATCAACTGTGTTGGAGTTACGAGTGCTATGTGCGTGCACTGCATCATCAACTGCTGACTCCGAGATTCGTTCCTTCTGTTGTGTTACCGTACTTTGTGTGGTTGACAAGTTAAATAGGTGCCTTAATTATAGTATAGTAGTCTATATGTAGTGTAGCGTTGAATGGATTCCCCGCGCGTTTGCCCCGGGTTCACTGCCAATACTGGATTGCTCTATTGATTCCAACAAACTGAGTATAGAAGGATGCTACGAAGGTACCGCGCTGCCGGTACGCGAGCCGGCCGAATTGGTTCCCAGCTCTGCTGCCGAGAAACCCCTGCTCCGCCATCATTGAAAAGTTGGAATTCACTTTGATCTGAAGACTGAGGGTGTTCCATCGCGACAGCATTTCGCGGCTTGCATGAGTCAAAGGAACTCGAACATTCACAAATCCCAATTGCAAACCATATTTTGTCGTCTCGGAGTAATTCTTGCCCTTCTCCAGATCGTATTTCTTCAACATTCCAAGACTTCTACAGAACGGTCATTGTGTTTTCTTGGCTAAGGTCCCGAGGAGAATCTCAGACGTTCTCCGAGATGCCCGAATGTCTCAATCCGCGGAAGAAGATTGCGGATGTAAAATAAAACCGCGGATGTAAAAGATGTCTCAGCCCCTATCCTTCCGCATATAAATGACCCTTACGCTCTTGAACTAACAACACGTCAAGACACTCCCACCTCTACAAACCTCATTCAATAACAGTGCGTTCCTTTCTCTCCATCGTCTTCCATCGGCTAACATTTTGCTCAGACAATCATGTCGGACACCATGTCGATGTCGATGCTCACCTCCACGACCTCGGTACCCCCGTCTAGCGTCCACCAACAGCGCACCCTCCGGGAGCGTTGTGGATTCACGCTCTCCATCTCCTTCGCCCCAGCGTTCCCAAATATCGCCCCTAAGGGTCACCTGGGACCCACCGCTAGCAATATCCCCCGCCGCAAGCGCAGTAGCGTCGTATCCATCGAGCAGCTGTTGCCCGCTGCCGTCCCCGTTGCCGATGCACGCATGGAATATTTCGCATGACGTCTCGGCTGTCAAGGCGCTTGGGGGAGCGGACTGTGGCACAGCGCCCGCAGATGGAGTTCTGGTGAGTTTTTCGTCGTTCATTCACTTGTCGGTCTCGTTTTCTAACGTCTCTTCTAGCCTGCCGCACGCCATGGGTTAGACTACGCAGTGTCCGCGGTCGTCTAGTGCTCAGCTACGCACGCTTCCCACCAATCGTCACCGGCGTAAGCGCAGCGCTGAGTCCTTGGGCACGAGATGTCGTGTTGTCGGGAGTTCAGCCGAATGGAGTAACAGACCTTCGGAGCGCGGATGCAAGCCTGGCAATCCTTACCGAGTTACCGTCGCCTTCCTGCTTATATACCCATTTAAATTGTGACCGTCAGGCGCTCGTTATACCAATATCAACTCACCCTTTTTTCCCGCGGTGGATAAGAATCTGGGTTCTCGTCAAGGTTCTCGCTGATGTGCGATTCAATTGAAATCCTGCCGGATGGAGTGAAAGTCAGCGCTGTGTTCAAGGGTTATGATTATGGAATGACTGAGACTCACAATCCTGGTCCTGGCTTTCATAGTATAAATTACATTCAACCACTTTCTTCAAAGGTTCAAATAGCAATTGAACTAAAGTTCGGAAGCAGGGATATAATAGACGCCGGATCTGATCACAACATTTCAACAACGTCAACCCGAACTGAAACGCACACTAAGCAAGCGAAAGAAATGTCGCACGTCTCGCTTACTGTTCCGTCTTTTCTCTTCTTTCTTTCTTTCCTCCACGCTCCTTGCTCATCATTCTGCCCGCACACCTCCTGGCGAGACGAAATACGATGCCCACACGCCATTCGCAGGATTCCGATTCCAGGACCATGAAGTCCAGTTCATCAAAGCGCAGCTGGGGCTTCAGCGAAGCCGCCCCTCGCTCCTCATCCTCCTCCGCTCCTTCATCTTCCTCTTCTTCCACGTATATGTATGAGTCGGGCCAAGCGAAATCCGTGGTAGGAATACTGGCCGCTCTTGCGCCGGCGCATGAGCCCCGGCGGCGCACCTCCCCGACCCCCACACAGCAGTCATGGCGTCATTCCCGCTCGCCCACTCTCGAGTCGCAGCCGAGCGCGTTTGCACCGGCTGGATCACCTGCACTCGTGTCCCCTTATCCATACTACAGATACGAACAGCGCCGAGGAGCCTCGTCCACGCCATCGCACGACCCATGGGCCCATTCCCGTACACCTATTTCGGAAGCCCAGCAGCGACCGCCCGTCTCGCCTGCTCTCTTGTCGCCGTACCCCACGCGCCCACACAAACAACGACGAGGAACGTCGCCTACGCCCTCCTCGTATGACTCATCGCGAGGCCGCACACCGAGTCCCGACCCTCCGCGGCGTTCCACCGAGCCGTCTTCCTTCCCGAGCAACACCTCTCCTCGCGCCCACCTCCCACGTTCGCCTCGTCCGACACTGAAAACTCGGGATTTGCCCCAGTCTCAGCCCGTAAAGGTGCCAACCCCGCGCAGCCCGCACTACGTCAAGGCGTCCCCGACGTGGAATGTTACTGCCACATTCGCGCCTCCTACGCCGACCCTGAAACCGAAACCGACGCCGCCATCTGCTGCCCCACGCTCCCCGCTTCTCAGCCCCAATCCCGACGCGCCGTTCGTCGCCAATATTCTGGATCCATCGCGTGCGTCGACTCCGTCCCCGTCTCCATCCGAGAAACAAGAGCTGGAGCTGGAGGAGCACGAACAAACGGTACATCGACGAGAAAATGGATGGAGTGGCGAATGGAGTGGTGCGCAGGGAATGGACGACGTCGTGCGCAGCTTGCGCATGCTGCGAGTCAAGTAGAGGCTGTCATAAGTGCAAGATCCACAGTCAGTGAGTGATCCGCAGATCTTCGACCCTGATGATCTGTCATCCTGGCTGACCGGCACGCCGAGCAGAATCCGCGTCGTTGCACTGCGAAACATTTCAGTGTACCTCGCTACCTACCTGTCGCTACTGGCCATGCCACCACACCGCAATACCTAAAATATACATCATAATATCCTACTTAAATATAGTTTCCGTCCGAGAAAGACGTCAGCTGATGATCGAAACATACTATGAACGCATCGGCAAAAGCAGTGATTGGAGGCAAATTATCTAGAGATTACTGGGCCCTATTGTGGCCTTATCAGACTTTATCAATTGAAAGTCGTCGGGTAATAAGGCGACTTTCGTGTGAAGAGGACAAAATAAGGGTTCCAATGAAAATTCCGACAAACAAAAACGAGGTCACGTCTCGAGACGACAATTTACTCCTGTGCCTTAAAACTCGCATGAGGGGGGCAAAACCTAAGCAAAACCTAAGCAAAACAGTGGGAAAAAACCGCATTGGCCGTATGCATTAAGGGGGAATCGAACCCCCGGCGGGTCGAATTTCCAGTCATGGCAACGACCCAGGTTACCACTACCCCATTAATGCTACGAACTCTAGGAAATAGCCGGTGTCCTCGCATAGAAATGCTGAATTTCGCATTTCTCGTTAGTGAAGAGCCCTTATTCTTCGAATATAGATTTCGAATTTTACTCCTCAACATTCCCCTTGCTACATTCGAAACAACCTCAAGGGCTGACATAAATTCATGCATGCAGATTTGATACAAATAGAGTCGGATGCATCGGAGGTGGGACAAGGAAACAGAGAAAATGAAATGAGAATTGCTCCACGTCCATGTACTTGCGAGCGTGGCCGGAACACAACAAATTTTGAGATGGAGTTCTCGTTTCAATAAAAGATCGACGGAAGAATCGGCCAGGGCAGCCGCCGTGTTGCCAGGGTAAATTCATTTCTGTGCCCCGACTTCCTCAAATTTCGATCTGTGGCAGGGCACAGTGCATTTCCTGGACGGCGATGGAAGCAGTAATGGTACATTCCCCGGAAAACCCCCTATACGCCTGGCGCGTACAACAACTGGGGATTTGAGGTTGACTCGACCAATTCTCACTGGATGCAGCAGACCTTGTCGTGGTCTTTGAATTAAACCACGGAACCTTATTACCAGATCACCGGCGCCATGGTTGGGAACCAGACACTGTGGTCTCAATTGGCGCACCAATGATATTATATACTCGACATGGCAGCCAGGGGAAATTATCCGGGCAACATAACCTCAGTGCATGGCATGGTGAGCCTGACTTTCGCTCAGAGTGGAGTACGTCGTGGTCTAGGCTCATGACCAGCCTGCCTATGAGTCTAGTTGCAGTCTATAGAACCTGCTGGAACGAGCACCGTGGAGGATGATGATTCCGGGGCCCTACTGTACTTGAATTACATGCTTCCATCAGTTGTACTTCCTTTGAAATCGTGCAAATTCCGATAAGTACTTGAGAAATGTAAATATATATCGAATCAATTCTCAATTATGGAAAATCCCTTGCACTATGCATGTACGCATCCATATCTGTTCCGTGTATGAGTTCAGAGTAAACGTGGGAGGAGAGTACCATGAATGCCATTTCGCAAGAGCATGTACTCGTGGTGTGGGAATATATACGTCGACAACTCACCCAAGTTCTCACAGTTGCATTTGTGCTGCCACTAAAGTTCGCAGAATATGAGCACTTGACATCTATGTGTTTAAATATTTCGCTCTTTCACTTCAACTCTCAAAAGCCCCAATTAATCGGGGCCCCATGCAGCAGCGGTTGAGCTACATAGCGAACTTGGAGTTTCTTATAGACGGCCTGTCCGAAGGATTAAGTCTAACCAGGGGTTGTATACCAAGACAAGGGTCGAGAAGGCAGGCAGTGAACAGTAGTAATCCACCCATTACTGATGACCTATCAAATTATCGACCTGTTCAACTTCTTGGTTGGAGAATTCGCTGATTCGGTGTATTTATTGACAATCGGAGACTCGGAGTTGCGTATGACATTGGGAGATCCTTCAAGGATTGATCTGAAGGTATTTCCGAAGCAAGTGCAGGCGCCTGGTTACGCCCTTTCAGCGCCCGCTTGCGGGAATTCCAAGCCAAGGGAGCTATGGTCAATATGGTCTGCACATGATACTATCAAAATCCTAGGGCTACGCCCGCAAAGCTACGCCCCAGCCCAACGTCCACCCCGAACCATAGATTTATCATGTCAGTGTAGATCATGCGGTTACCAGTGGCAGCGACAAACGCTTGGCAGACACCGCCTTCTAAGACATTGTTGGCCTTCGTCTCGCGTACCAACTCACGGCTTTCAATGCAAACACAGCTGTCGGAACCAATTTCGTGAAGGTATTCAAAACACACCAACTACCGCTCATCGGTGATCCTGGTAACAGAGACCGTGTATAAAAGGGCTCGCATGAGACCATAACGCCCACCCTCGACCTGCAACTTGGGTGTTCTTTTTCTTCGCGATTTTCTTTGCCGCAGGTACCTATTTTATTTTCTTCTTCTTATCCACGGCGTTATAGAGTCTGCCTTCTCCAGGTTCGGTGCCTTTTATTCTTCTTTCACGAGAGACCTACTATCGACACACTTCCATTCTAATTCACCACACTACATACATCATGAACCGCCGCTTCCTCACTCTCTTCCTGGTGCTCTTTGTCGTGCTCGCAGTTGTCGCGGCTCCCGTTGATTCGCGGGAGAATGTACGTATATATGGTGTCTTTGAAGCAGAGGAAACCATGCTGATTGTGACAGCAGATTCTGGAGGCGCGCCGTGCAAAAGTTGCGAAGCCGAAAGCTGTTGCGAAACCCAAGGCTGTCGTAAAGCCCAAGGCCGCCCCCAAGGTTCGTAAGGACTAGCTGTGATTTTCCTTTCCTAACCTAGCTTTCAGCCCGCTGCCAAACCAAAGCCTAAGCCAGCACCAAAGCCTGTCACCAAGCCAAAGGCGACGCCCGTTGCGAAGCCTAAACCTGCCCCGAAACCGGCGGTGAAGCTGAAGGCAAAACCTGCCCCAAAGCCCGCAGCTTAGCCCGCAGCGAAACCCGTCGCCAAGCCGGCCGCAAAGCCAGCTGCAAAGCCTGCAGCGAAGCCCGCCGCCAAGCCTGCTGCAAAGCCTGCTGCGAAGCCCGCAGCTAAGCCCGCTGCGAAACCCGTCGCCAAGCCGGCCGCAAAGCCAGCTGCAAAGCCTGCAGCGAAGCCCGCCGCCAAGCCTGCTGTGAAGCCCGCAGCTAAGCCCGCTGCGAAACCAGCAGCCTGCCCCGCCCCTGCACGCAAGCCCGCCGCGCGCCGGTTCCTAGAGTACATGGGAATCCTCGCCCGTACCACACCCGCCGAGTGCTCGACATCGAGCCCAACCAAGACAACCACGGCCCAGACTGCCGCCGAGTCCAGAGCAGCCAGAAAAGGCCAAGAAAGCCGCAGCCAAGAACAAGGTCGCGGTGAAGACCGCCTCGGCTCAGGCCGCAGCCGCGTCTCAAGAGGCATCTAAGCGCGTGAGTGTAGAACAGAACTGGAGCGAAATAATGAACTCGACGTACTCCATTTTCAGCCCGTTGGAACCGTCGCGGACGCACCAACTAGTGCAGTGAAATGCACAAACTCGACTGGAGAGCAAACCACTATCCCCCTTGCTGCAATTAAAACGGCTGTCCAGTTGGCGCAGGCGGGCCCACTCATAGAGGGCGACAATGCGGTCAAGTTCCCGCATGTGTTCAACAACCGTGAGGTGCGCTGTGGCTCTCGCCTATTGCCCTGCCATCGTACAAATTGTGTCGCGATCCGCAAACTAACGCTAGTGAATGCAGGCTGTGAAAGTGCCGTCTGCGTGCGCAGGAAAGACGCTTGAGGAACAAGCGGTCGGACCGGATATGTCGACGTTCAAGAATATCCCCTCCGTCTTGACGAACTTCAACCAGTTCCGTGTGCTGATCACGACACCAGATGCCAAGGGGGCCACCACGTTCTGCGGTGTGGTATGCCACTTTTGTATTGGATGCATTGAGCAGAGACTGACCTGTGGCTATCTCCAACCCGTAGATGACGCACGGAACATCGACGACGGGCACCTTCGAGAAGGATTTGTGTACAGAGGCGTAAGGCGTTATGACCAGCCATGTATCATGACACGTTGTGAAGAGATGGAATTTTATGTCGATTATGTGCGCGCTGGAACCAAAGAACTCCAAGTAGGTGCGACGAGGGTCCGATTTTCGCGGTGAGATGATTGCCTTCAAGAGAGACGACTCGAGTCTCATGTAGATTGAAAACAGGAGCTCACGAGTTCAGTATATAAACAGCGCTCCCTGCAGCCAGACTCGGAACAGTGAAGGAAGAGGGGAGTACACGTTGGTAAAGATGGCGTCGTGCGAATCGAGGAGTCCGTCCTTGGCCCTAAGGTCACGCTGAACCTCAAACAGCCACGCAAGAGCACGCAAGCCGGCTGAAACGTGGCCGGAAACCGACCATAAACCAGTGGAAGAGACGACTCCGAGACGAGTGGACAAGATCAGTGCTCTAAAGGCACCTCTCCGAAGCGTCTAGTATCGCGCAAAAGCGTCAAGTGCAAGCATGCGGCACAGGGCGCCCAACACTCACCGAGACCGATTCTTCCCAACGGGCATACCATCAGGAAAGGCGCAGGTAACTATGGGGCCTGGGCGCTATGAAGCACTCGGCAAGGCTGTCAAGTGCTGTCAAAGGCCTGCATAGCGGCCATATGTAGTGTCTTGCGGTTTGCCTGATGACGTATGGAGCAGAGAACTTGATGCAAAGGAAATCGGGTTGCAGACTTCTTCAGAAAATGCCACCTTTTGGGAACGGCCTGGTACGAGAAAGCCGCGCCGAGAATTGGCCGTAGATTGATGGCCGCCGCAAAAGGTTTGGAATCTTTGCGCAGACAGAGCAATCTGGCGGAGGATGCAGAAATCGCGTGCGAGATCAACACGTGATCAGTCTGACGTGTCACGATCAACAAGCTGAGGCAAACACGAGCGAAAAATAGAAAAAAGCCAGGGAATTCCTTATTCGCACAGAAAAGGGAAGCACTTGGTGAGCATAATAAAATTGAGGCCATGAGTTCAGAGGCTATCCAACGATCAAGCAGATCTTTTCACTTGTGGGGGGGGGGACTTGAACCCGTTGATGCGGACCGCTCCATTCCGAGTCCCATTCATCGGGTTCAACTGGGCATAAGTATAGTTTGTGGAGTTGTGGGGCGGGCTGATGACCTTAACCAAAGCAAAAATTTAAATCAAACCGCTGGCGCCGGGGCAGCATCTCAGGCTTCATCAATGATCAATCGAGTCTCAATACATCACTAAGCCTGAGAGTCTGTGTCGGACTCAGCAAGCCCTAAAACACAGACGCAAGGATCGTCTCTTGGTCTCGATGCCGAGGTGCGCTTTGCCGTAACGGCGACAGCGGCGTACTTGCTTGCTGCAGCCGCCGTAGTTAGTTCTAGTTAGTAGTAATCAGTTTCCCGGACCCGGACCATTCTCTAGATACTTAGTATAAATCCTCAGTACTTACCAGTAGTGGGGC